ACTCGACACTCGACACTCAGACACTAAACACTAGACACTCAGACACTCAGACACTAGACACACATCTCACCAGATGGATGGTGATGATGTGGTCTTAGACGAAGCTTGTAGACTCGCGAATAGCCTATTCACAATTGCTTTAAATTAGTTGTGATTATTTTTATTAAACTTAAGATTGTGTGACGTTAGAGGGGCAGATAAAAAAAATAGGTAATTAGATACCTCGTTAGTAAGCGGTAGTTATACTACCCAAGTTAAGGTAATAGGTTAAAACGTGCCGAGGACTGTATGGCATTAGGGTGGATAAAAATGTAATGTCGTAAGCGCTTCCCCCTCATGATTGGGCGCATCTTGTTGTATATTAACCCATTAGAAGTCACTGTACTCGATTGAGTACAGGCATATATTTAAGTGCCAGTTACAGATCGCGTAAAGTTATCGTAGCCTACCTTATTATTTTACTATATCGATCAACTGTTCAAGTATATTGACGAATATTACGAGGGTAGTGTGATTTTTTATGATAAAAAGTGTAAGTTGAAGTTGTATCATTGAGACACTGTGGAGGTAAGTTCATTATTTTAATTATTTTCTAATAATTACCGTTTATAAGTAGATTTTTTTCATTTCATTAGTATAAAATACGTATCAGGATTAGTTATAAACAATAATGCAATCATTACTTGTAACTAAAATAAAACAAGAGCCATGTAAATGTTGGTGTACTCGGTTGAGTACAGTGACAACATAAGTAAGTAAAATAACCATTTTTTTTTCAGGTTCCTAACAATAAAAAAAAGCATTTTATAACTCGAACGAGCTACAAGAGGCTTGAAGCAGCGATTGAAGCTGTTTTAGAAGAAAACGATAAGGGTGAATATGACTTGGCGATCATCCCACCTGATGACAGATGAGGAGAAAGGCACTGATGAGGATATGGCGACATGTCCCATACCGCAAGACGTACCTGGTACTATGGAGATATTCACATACCGAAAGGATAGGAATACGTAAGACAGCTCGTACGGCAATAGTGATGAAAAACTGCTGGTGTCAAAAAGAATACGACTAGATTCTACTCGGATCGGGCTCGAATTTGAAGTGGATTGGCACTTCGAATTCGAACCCGATCTAGCGAAAGTGTTCCCCTACATACTCTTTGCCGGCCAAGAAACTATTATATTATTATTGAAGTCCATGACAGGAAGAGTACTATTTATGAACAGCTGAAAGGCCTCAATTCTGTACAAATATTGGAAAAAAATATTGATAATGATATAATTGATATGATTATAGAAAACACAGCCAATTATACACTCATCAACATAATAGACATGAATTTCGACTGGATTCCTCTGATTTAGAAAAAGTTCTTAGGCTTAGCACAAAGGATATGAAAAAGAAAGAACGCGCCACTTATGACTACAGGTTTGACAAAACAGGTGAACTTTTATTAGTAAGGTGGAAAGATAACAGTGTATGTATCATAGTAACTAACTAGGATACCATTGAATCGCTAGAAACAGTCAAGTGATGGTGTCGAATAAAGAAGAAAAAGATGGACATGGCACGTTTATTCCAAACGTAGAACAAAAATATGGGAGGTGTGGATGAGCTGGACCAGTCTGTTTTATTATATAGAATTGCTGTGTCTAAAAAGTGGTGGTGGGTGTTGTTCACTTACATGTTAGACGTAGCTAATGCTAATGCCTGGCGATTACATGTGATGAGTAACGATGATCAACTCATGTTTCGTCGTCACATCGCACGATATTATTTACGCCAAGGTGATCAAAGAGATCGCGTCAGGCTGCATCAATAGTCTGTGGTCTTTCCCAAGATGAAGTTGGACACTATCCTACTAAAATTAAAAACAGCTGCGGTGTGTTCTTTGTCATTCAAGAGTGCGTTGGCAGTGTAAAAAGTGCCTAAAAACACTTTGTGTCGAAAAAGCGTGTTTGGAAATATTTCATACATAGAGGTGGTCAGTGTACTCAATTGAGTACACCCCCATAATTTCGCGAAAATTACTATATTTGAATTTTTTTTCGTATTTTGTGTTTCGATGCTCTTATTTTAGTATGAAAATAAAGAAAATTTAAAAAAAGAAACAGTACTTTTTATTTGACTTCTAATGGGTTAAGCCCCTTTACTGGACTGCGTGGGGGGGGGGGGTCGACCGTCAAAATGCCCCTTAATCGTGGGAACAACATGGTAACAATAAACAAAAAAATACCAACAAATATAAATAAGACTGGAGGCTTACCATCAGTATTTGAAATATTTGTAGGTGCAAAAGTAATGTTGCGGTCCAACATTGACGTTACAAAAGGATTGGTAAATGACGCTATAGGCCACATTACAGAAATTTTTTGGCCTCAGTTCCGTCGAACCCAAATGTACGAAACAGATATATCATCAGTTTTAATTGACTTTGGCACAGACGGCATGCACGTTATTTACCCTAAAGCCATACAGTTTCCAGCAAAATTCAATTATGGTACGGCTGAAAAAAGGATGTTGCCCTTAGTTTTGTCATGAGCATTCACCGTCCATAAAATGCAGGGCAGCACCGTCGACCATGCAGTAGTATATTTGGGCTCAAAATGGTTTGAGGAAGGACAAGCTTACGTGGCTCTAAGTCAAGTCTCTGGAAGGGCTATGTATTGAGGAATTAGATTGTACTAAATTATCAGGTAAGAAACCATGTAATAATGATGCACTGAATGAATTAAATAGAATGAGGAATATTCGGTAAACAATTTCACTAAATACTAAAAACAAGAAAATAAAAATCGGTAAAAAAACTTTTAAGTTAAACGGTTTTAATTTATGTGCACTGAAAACTACAAAATAAATAAATAGTTACTTACCTATCAACCTACGTAGGTGATGTCGGTCATTAATATCTCTGATGGTATTGGTTGTCATAACATGAACCATGTCAGCGGCCGAAAGGCAGTTCATGAGAGAACACTAACACCAGGGTTTGCTTGGTAGGTAAACTAAGCAGCCCACACTATAACAAGTAGGTATTTTGACCTTCTAGTTCAGAAATATTTTAGTACTAGGCAGAATAGCTTTTAGGCATATTAGACTAAAATAAAAACGTGGGGCCCCTCTGAAATCATACCTATAGCAGAGCATATCTTATACTTTGGTAGATCATGAGCTCGGCGTTCGCTGGTGAAGCCGTAACGGCTGGTTATTGATGGTCAAAACCTCCAGTTACGATTATAGTAAGTCGATTCAGCTGACCCTGAACTCCGGAGCTATGAGGTTTCGGATGCGACCGGGGTAAACCGCTAGGATGATGATGATGACGATTATAATAAGTCGATGTAATCCACACTTAGTATAGTAGAAAGTAATACAGAAATAGTTAATGGGCCCCACGTTTTTATTTTAGTCTAATATGCCTAAAAGCTATTCTGCCTAGTACTAAAATATTTCTGAACTAGAAGGTCAAAATACCTACTTGTTATAGTGTGGGCTGCTTAGTTTACCTACCAAGCAAACCCTGGTGTTAGTGTTCTCTCATGAACTGCCTTTCGGCCGCTGACATGGTTCATGTTATGACAACCACTACCATCAGAGATATTAATGACCGAGATCACCTACGTAGGTTGATAGGTAAGTAACTATTTATTTATTTTGTAGTTTTCAGTGCACATAAAATAAAACCGTTTAACTTAAAAGTTTTTTTACCGATTTTTATTTAATGTGTGACAATGAAATGGTCACCCCGCCTGCGCTAACGGAATACGCTGGCGGGGCACCAGTGAAGGATGATAGGTGACAATGCAAGCAGGTCAATTAGCCCATCGAGACAAACTAGAATTAACCATGATGGTATCCAGGGGGAACTACGTGGAGGTCAACCTAATAGAGTGTATTGCTAGCAATGGGACAGTTAGACCCCATTACTAATAATCCCTTTCCCCCCCGATACCGTACGTTTGATAGTATACAGTCACGTTCGCAATCCCTGTAGACGCCTGTAGCCCTAAAACAAGCTTAAGCTTGTCTGTTAAACCCTTTTTTTTATATATATATATATATATATATATATATATATATATATATATATATATATATATATATATATATATAAAATTTTATAGCCGAATTCCAATATATTGATATTTGTGACGGGCGATATTGTTTTTGATAAAGCATTTATAATAAATGCTTTAATCTTGAAAGATTATTTCAATTTTATTACCCATTCAACTTGATAGATAGATAATTTATTTGCATTACTTACAGCACACAAACGACAATAGACAAAGACAGTGGAAAAAGATAAAAAAAGATATATGTACAAAAAATAATAAAAAATAAAAAGCCTAAAATCAGTAATATTTTTTTCCCTTCATGCGTGTGCCACAGTAACACAAAATGGTCACAACACAGTTTATTGTTTTGCCTTAAAAAGAGCAAAACACTGATATTCTGTTGTGACCAAAAGTGAGGCGCGAAATTTCACTAAAAAAAAAAATATAGACTGTCTCCATGAACTAGAGCTTTGGGAAGCAGGTTCGAAACCACGTGGTTTTTAGATTCTAGATCATCGATGGATCAAAGAATTATATATTTTTATTCTTCTATACTGTTGCATATTCGCGATTCGAGTGGCCTCGTCCATTGTAAATTGCATGTAAAGCTTACATTGTTGAGAAATGGTTCATATGCATGTTCGGCCGTGAACTAGAAAGTGGTCGGTTGCACACTTGACATCCTGAAATGTTTTATTTCTCTCCTCTTAAACGATCTTGATTTTTTTCTACAGCGATTAAAAATTTTAATTTAACAAACATTGAGGTAAGAAATATAAGAAAGGATAAATAGATTTTTATTATAGGATAATAAAGTATCAAAACTTTTAAACCGGCCTGTAGTTATAAAAAAAAACTCGACATAGTACTGGCCATTAATAATTAAAGAGATGGCGTTACTTGCTTCTAACAATATTTATTTGTTTTTTTTTTTTTTTGCAGGAAAACCGGAACCGGTCACTCCGTCCAAGAAGATTCCAACTCCATCCAAATCGAAATCCGATACTAAGATATCGAGAACCAAACTACCGAATTTCGCAGCGCTGCACCAGCGAAGGTTCGAGAAGATGGAGTCGTTGGACGAGTGCCAGGAGCGGAAGGCGAAGAGAGCGCGGCAACTGCTCGTTCCCACCGCTCCCATTACAGTCCTGGAGAGAAGCAGCCCTAGAGGTTAGTGTCCCCTGAAATTTGTACTCATATGTGTATATATTGTAATTTATTAACAGGGGGGGGGGAGGGATTGTTCGTAATGGGGATTAGTAGCCCCATTGCTAACAATATACCCTGTCAGGTCGACCTCCTCGTGGTTCTCCCTGGAAACCATCGTGATTGATTGATTGTTGGTTTCGTCACGGTAAGCTAACTGGCCTGTTTTCATACCTCATTCTATCATCCCTCACTGGTGCCCCGCCTGTGTATACCGATAGCGCAGGCAGGGTTACCATTCCATTATCATCCATTAAAAAAAATGAACAAACAGACTGTATTTTATATTAAAAAAGTCGTGTGAAGTCGGAACGGGACGCCAGTTTTATACATATAAAGCAAGCACCACGCACACAGACGCACCGTCGCCAGCTGCGTACGCTTGCACGCACACTGGCGCGATCTCTCTCTCTCACACAGTCGCACTATATTTAGCCAGGACGTTTATCTATCGGGCACGTCACGATCGATTTTAATAATCTACGATAGTAAAATGTTTATATGGGTTATGCTCGCTTATAAATAAGTTTTTATTATTTCGCCAATATTTCAAACGACTCGGTTCCAGTCTCTCAATGGTAGTGCAATAATAAGCTAGTTCGCCCTTTGTAGGGACATAAATTGCTTATTATATACACTGTGGCATGGTACGGGTCGGCTGCCAGCATTTTACCAGAGGAACACTTTGTACAAAAACTACACACTTCGTTTGCTTGAGCACCTATGTCCTATTTGTGTTTCTACCGTAAAACAGTTGTGTTTGCATGGCTGTGTTTCGGTTTGAGGATGGGATATGGCAATGAATTTACAGGGTACAGAGGAATAACAACTAAGTCCTCAGGAATGGCAACGCATGGGAGGTATCATGGGCGAAACAGTATACTCTGTTATGTCCCTGGTACTGCTCATGTCTATAGGCGACGGTTACCACTTTCCATCAGGGGGCCGTCAGCTTATTTGCCATTAAAAAAAAATAGTAAAATATTGTCAAATTTTAGCAGATTTTATGTATTGAATGAGGTTTCTTCAAATAGCTATGAAATATTTTGTGTGAGAGTATATACTATATTTGTAACAAATTTTGTAGCGATTAGTTGAACCGTCAAGGCTTCAAGGGAAAACAAAAACTTAATAAGGATTATAAAATTTTATGTTCTCAGTATCACCCACGAGCTCTGAGCCGCCGATGACGAAAGAAGCTAAAAAGATGGATCTAACAACTGTCAAGAAATCAGAAACGCCAACAAAGAAACTGCCAACGTTGGATTCCCTAAGGCCGGGGTACACAAGGTTCGGTTTTAAAATGAACTTAGAAGTGAACCCCTTCAGCATCACCAGTAAGAACGTGATGAAGCCAAAGGATAATAAACCTAAAGGTGCGCTAGTAAGACAGGCTACATTGCCGTCTCTAACCGGTACGACGACAAGCAGGAGGGAAATCGCCAAGCAGACTGTTATGAGGGAGAAATCCTTCACGCATGTGTCAGAGAAACGAGATATCAAGAGAAAGGAGAATAGGTGTATAATTAAGGGTGTTAGAACAAACAGGAGGTTTGATTTGCAGATGAAAATGAGAAACATGGAAGCATAACACAATATAGTCTCAAGAATGACAATTTATGGGGCGCCATGGGCGTTACGGTGTATTCCATGTTATCCATGGTGCTATTCACGTCAATAGCTGACGTTTACCACTTTCCATCAGGTGGGCCGTCAGTCATATTTGCTATTCGAAGTCGTTGTTCAAAATACTAGTGAACATATCGTCACCTCTATGGCAAATTTACGAATCTGCACTTTTTTCAAATTTGACATTTCATTAAAAATCTACATTTTACGTCATACTACTTATTGTGGCTTATTTTCAAATTTCTATCTCTAACGGTTAAAGAAATCTAGTAGCTCGAATCTCCATATTTTTGTGATATACCCAAAGTAAACTTACTTAGCATATTTTTATTGTATTTTCTATAATAAACACTTTAATTTGAAAATTTCAATAATTATTTTATAAATTTTTTCAATCCTAATTTAGTTATTTTACATGAATGATTCCTATAACGTTGTTATTTAAACTCAAGTTTTCTCTAAACCACGTGATTTATACCGTGGTATATTTACAAAAGTGGCACTTTCGTTAGTTTGCCAGATATTAAAATAAATGATTATCTTTGGCAACTTACGAAACTGCCACTTTCGTAGGTTTGCTGTTGTAAAACTCAACATCTAGGAACTCTCATGTATGAAGGTGCAAAGTAACTAATATGCATTTATTTCTGATACTTGTAATATAATAATAATTAACTAAGAGCATTCAAAAAAAAAAAAAACAGAATTTTAAAACTAAAATGTTAGCATGATCTTTTACAGTAGTCTTCTGTCAAAAGTTATTTGCATTCTAATGTTTCAAAACGTTCCCCTGTAAAATGTATCTTTTTCAGTTTCGTAAGTTTACCATAGAGGTGACGATATATATAATAAAGTTAATTACTAACATTAGATACTAATGCCAGCGTCGTGACTAACACAAAACTTTTAATAGACCTCACCAAATAATGTATAGCTTATTTTGTCCGGGAATAGATCGGTGGAAATACTAACTCTTGTGGTTCTGGCGTTACTGCGTTACGTCGATAATGGTTACTCAATTGTTGGTTATTTATTATTGGCAAAAGGTCATGACCGTTGCAATACGATATATATTTCCCCAATATATTTGCTAAATGAGACGATAGACTTCAAACACTGTGTCTTCAAACACAACTATTATATTTAAATGTATCTTTTTTGCACATTTAATTTTAGAAAAAAAATACTTTTTTTGAATTTGAGTTCGCAAATACAAAATTTTTTTTTTAAACTTATCAATCACTTTTCCCAAAAATTGAAGCATAGTTTTTGTTTAATAGGAACTGAAGTTTTTAATGTTTATATTTATTTAACAACTTTTTTGAGTACAATGAACCATTTATAATAATACCATAGATACATTAAAGTTGCAGAGAACTGGTGCCTGAACTGGGCATCCGAAGAACCCGTGTCACAAGGCACCAGGACCCCTCGCTGGCATGAAACATTTTATGGTAATACATACAGTTGGAGAACATAAAAGTTGTTACGCGTAGCAGATACAATACGAACACATAAAAATACATATACACACATAGTTATATAATATTGAAAAGTTTAAATAACAATCAGTCAAACTGGATAAAAATCAGCAAACAAAGGCAAGGTAATCGATAATCAATCACTAAGACAGGGTAAAAAAATAAAATAAAAATAACAATTAGAGAATAAATAATTGAAATAAATCCGCCTAATAATTATGATGCGTTAACGTTAAGTTTATTTTTGGGTTTAATAGTACATCTGCGCTGGTACGAAATATCCCGCTGCACCACTGTGGTCCTGTTTCATCAGATACATACTACATTCTCACTATTAAGTCATCAATCTATCACTCACTCGATCACTATTAAGTACTCAACGTTGCTTGACGAGGTGATCAAATGAAAAGAAAAGCTTGCGCCAACAATCCTTGCGGTGTCGTACTTCTAGTGATTTGGAATGAAGTTAAAAAAAAGATAAAGCTTATAGCTTTCCGTACTAACATGACTTACGAATGAAGTGTCACATCAGCGGGTCTAGCATGAAATGACATTCCGAAATTTCAGTATCAATTTCGTGTTTTCGTTTATATCAAAATCGGACCCAATAAATGGAGTTTAACATTTCGTTCGTCACACATCCTATCATAAAAGTCCAAAGAGACAATATTTTAACATTTTTAATATTTCCAAATGGCATGTATTATGTAATTTTAACATTAAATTTCTGTTTCGTTTGGCTCCGATATTTCGGAAAACATTTCATGGTGGGCCCTCAGTCTTTAACCCTTAAAAGCCTGATTTTTTAAATTAAATTAAAAAAATATATAAGTGTACCCTTTACTGTGTTTACTAATGGGGAAAAAAATCAAAAAGATATTTTTATATATTTATTTTGAAAAAAAAAAAAAACATTTGGTATAATTTTTGACACTTTAGGCACTCACGGTAATCAAAATATTTAAATTTATTTAACAATGAAACAATGCAAACCCCGGTATCAAATTTGAAACTTCAGGTATTCAAGGGTTAACTGGCCACAGCTGGACATAGGCCTCACCCTTGGGGGGTTTACTAGTAGTTGCGACTCTTGGTAGGCGGGTTGGCAACCGCAGTTAGACTTTGGTCATGTTATAAGAGAGACACTGCCCCATCCTTCACGCTCTCTTAGTCACCTCTTACGACACTCACGTGAAAGGAAGAAATAGCCCAATCTAAGGCGGCACTACATGACAAGTTAGTATTGAATGCTCTAATTTAAAATCTTCGAGCCTCAATGGTCGCGTACTGCGCGGTTTCAGAGATGTTTCCTCCCACGAACACTCAGGTTGTGGAATGAGCTTCCCTGCCGAGGTTTTCCCAAGAGACTACAGCATGGGGTTCTTCAAAAGGGGAGTAAAGAGGTTTCTTTAGGGTCGGCAACGCGCGCGTAATGCCTCTGGTATTGCAGGTGTTCATAGGCTACAGTAACCACTTACCATCAGGTGGGCCGTATGCTTGTTTGCCACCTCAGTGGTATAAAAAAAAAACCATGTCTTTAACTGGTAAACTTTTCCATGTTGGTAACGTTTTCGTTTTCATTCTATGTAAGTACTTGTACCGCCTATTATAAGTACGTGCCATATTTTTGTTATCTGATATTACCTCTGCGTTAGTTCCACAAGCCTTTTACTAACATAAACTATAATTTAACAGTATTAACTAGAATTACTAACTAAATATATTGAACGTTGCTAGTTTATGGACAGTTACAATAGAGGAACTAGAAATAAATTACTATAAATTTAGAACTAGAATAGTTATCAATTAATACAACGTATGTACGTTGTATTAATTGATAACTATATAACATGTGTGAACAATTTTTTATTACAATATACTTAAGATTTTGTAAAGGTTTTTCAATATTATAATGATTATTTAGTTATTTCAATTAAAAATAGACTTCGCCAAATTAATGTACTAATATATTGTAAGTCTTAAATTTTTCGTATTTAAGAGTACATAATATGCTTTTATTAAGAGATGGCTCTTCATATATTAATTTTAAATATATATTTTTTTTATGTATCAAAGTGACGTTAAAACTACACACGGCCTACTACGTTTAACACTGGTCACCCTAACACCTATCTTCTATCTATACTTATAATAAATCTGTAGAGAGGTCAATTCTGTACATGAAATATATTTCTAAAATAACTATTAGGGAGTGATTAGTGATCGATACTGATGCCAAAAATGCTATCAGTGAAATTTTTGTCTGTCTGTCTGTATGTTCGTTATAGAAACAAAAACTACTTGGCGGATTTTAACGAAACTTGGTACAATTATTTTTTGGCCAGGTTATAGTATACTTTTCATCACGCTACGATCAATAGGAGCAGTGCAGTGAAGGGAAATGTTAAAAATGTCCACCCGTGCGACGCCAGGACGGGCCGCTAGTTTGTAAATGAATTTATTATTGTACTATTTAGTTATAAGACAGGAACGGACTGTCTTAGACGTAAATGACACGTAAGCAAATACAATACGCACATTAAAAATGTTTAATTCAAAATTAAACATTATATTGTACGTACTTTGGGTAGATTTTGTAATGGCAATAGCATTGTTTAAATTAATGATATATTATGTGTGAAATGTTTGGAATCAATGTTTGAATAATGTAACAAAATAAACATACGATTAGATATTACATGTGGTTTGTTTTCATCAAATACTATTTCAGATTTCCTAAATTATGTCGAATTTTTTTTCACATTTGTGTTGTGTTTGCATGGCCGTGTTTCGGTTTGAAGGGTGGGATATGGCGTGAATTTACTGGCTATAGAGGAATAACATCTAAGTCCTCAGGGTATCATGCATGGGGGGTATCATGGGCGAAACAGTATACTCTATTATGTCCATGGTACTGATCATGTCTATAGGCGACGGTTACCACTTTCCATCAGGTGGGCCGTCAGCTCGTTTACCATTCTAAGTTATTAAAAAAAAATATTAAAGTTTTATTCAGAAATCTTCAGTGTAATAGCGATTCGTTATTATAAGAACTCAATTAAGGCCACATGTTGAGAAGGTAGGCTGGATCCTAATGGAAGGGCTGGGTCTCTAATCATTAGGCAAAGAAGAATATTGGGCACTAGACGACCAATGTTGCTTATTTTCTCTTTGTGGTTTTATATATACGGCTAGGCGGAAGGGATTGTTGCAGACTACCAGTTCCATTGCTAACAATATACCCTATCAGGTTGACCTTCACGTGGTCTCCCCTGGAAACGATCGTGCTTAATTCCTGGTGTATTCACCACGATGGACTAATTGACCTGTCTTCTTATCCCATCTATTATATCATCCCTCACTGGTGGCCTTCCAGGGTATACTGTTAACGCAAGCGGGGTTACCATTCCATTATCATCTATTAAAAAAAATATCAAGAGTGGGAGGATATAGTGCGACTCCGGCCGAGTGAATCGGTAAGTACGTAAAATATCCTATGTATTATACTAAATAGTGTACTAATGATCGTTCATATCCAAAAAAATCTATAAAAAATTGTGAGATATCTCGATTCCAATAATAATCTCACTAATCAAATCAGTTCAAAGTTAACAAAGATACGAATATATAGTACTATATTAATATCAAATATATACGTATATTAGATAATATCAAATATATAGTACTATTTTATCTTAGATACAGCATGGAGTCTAAAAAACGTGTCAACTCTTTGTCAGCTAATTGTCAAATTAGCTATTTTTTTTTAATGTTCTATATACTTACGCACACAACGTACCTTGACGTATCTATATTTATTTAATAAATAAAATAAATTCTTGCGCATTAAAAATGCGCAAAATTTATAAGACAAAATTAATATAAAATCACTCATAACTATTTATCATACAAAATTGTATGGAAAAGTTGACCAGCTTTTCTATAAGCACTTGTATGGAGACGCTCCATCTTTTTTTTTTTAACAACAGGGCAAACGAGCATGCGGCTCTCCTGATAGTATGTGACTACCGCCGCCCATGATCACCCACAACACTAACGGCATTGCAGGTGTGCTGCCGGCCTTTTAAAAAGGAATATGCTCTTTTCATCAACAATTCGAGCTGCCCAACTATATATAATCTAATAGTACTATATATTGGCCGTATGGTCCCGGCATAGAATAGGCCACGCCTCCCTTGTAGGTGTCGTATGAGGCGACTAAGGGAGGACGATGAATGGATAGCAGCGTCCCTCTTAAAACATCTCTGAAGCCTAACTGCGTTATTAATCCACTTGCCAATGGTGACAACTAATGGCGAAACCTCCCTATGGAGGCTTATATTCAGCAGTGGATAGTTAAGGGCTATTATGAATGATATCGAGTATACAAAAATTTTATAACATTTACTCGATTGCAGCAATAATCACTTATCAAATTAGTTCATCAAGTTAGAACGGTATCGTGTAAATTTTTTTTTATACAACTTAGAATGGCAAACAAGCTGACGGCCCACCTGATTGAAAGTGGTAACCGTCGCCTATAGACATGAGCAGTACCATGGACACAACAGAGTATACTGTTTCGCCCATGATACCCCCCCATGCGTTGCCATTCCTGAGGACTCAGGTGTTATTCCTCTGTACACTGTAAATTCACGCCATATCCCACCCCATACAACTGCTTCACGGTAGAAACACGAATGGGACAGAGATACCCAAGCAATCGACTTTTGTACGAAGTCTCCCTCTGGTTATTGCTATTCAGTACTGTTCTATTACATTTGACGGCGAGACAATTGGTCATAGTCTACGCAGACCTTAGCCATAACTTACCGTGAATGGATATATTTATACCATAAGTTGCACTATAAGACTATGCTTTCAATACAGGCGCTAGCGTAAATAACTAAATATGCCATTATAAAGCAATCTGCCGGTCTTACTCATACTGAATACGAAAGAAAGGGAAAGTGCGTGAGGAGGTCCCGCCGCTGTCCCTTATAATTCAAATATCTGGATGCTTGCCAGCCGTGTAACGTTGTCTGAAAATTGATCGAGCGACTATAACTAAAGTTTGGGGGGTAGGTATCAAAACAAAATTGGCTACAATCAGATTTATTAATGTTTCAACATAGAAGCACAGTATGTAAGATCACACATTCCAGGCACACACGTGCCCCTCAGTCCACAAGCTTGCTAATCACTGTCCATCACTGACAATCATGAAAATATTTAATTCATTACGAAAGGACTAAATAATAACTTACTACTTAAATTACATGGTTGCGCTGTTTTTAATCTCTTGTTATTCCACCGAAGGGGCCTGTAAAGGGCTTCCGAGACGGCCGAACACTAACATGTCGAACGACTTGATTCACCTAACGTATTTATAGATGGAGACTTGATGGATTACATAGTTTCTCTGACAGTATTAAAATAATTTTGTTTATTTATACTTCACTGTACACAAAAATTACATTGTTATAATATATTTTAACTAAAGATGTACAACAGGCGAGCTTAACTCCGTAAGAGTTCTCTTCCAGCAAACGCTGAGTGGAAAGGAGCATTAATTATCAGCGGAGAGTAATTTAATTAATTTATATGTATTTAATTAATCAAATCATACGAACTGATTGGACAATTCAAACGACAATGAAGTCCACCGAAGGAGGCATTAAAACAAGAAAAATATAAATTAATCAAACACTGCTTCAACCCACAGAATTATTTTCGCTTACCAGTCCATAAGCAATCAAAATTATTTATAACGCAAACAAAAATCTACGCTTTAGAATCAAACCGTTGGTTTAACAGTCTCGGGAGCCCTTACCATCTACATTTGTGCAGCGTCAAGCTGTCATAAACCAAATATAATTTTACCAAGATACTGCAAATGTAGCGCTGCAATGCAGCCTTTTTTTCTACATTAAACCTACCACAAACATAGTAATGGTAGCTTTATAAAATATTTGCTCCTTAAACGGAATAAGAACAGACCGAAGCGATGTACGGGGGAATATTACTCATGATGAGACTGCGGCCCGTTGTCTGTCTAACAGCAACGGACCACGTGATATAATTATCTAAGGTCTAATTTTTAATTAGTTATTATTTAGTCTTAATTTATATGTATAATTTATCCCTTGTGCACGGAATATATATATATATATATATATATATATATATCACTTTACACGTTTGAACAACATTCTTGAAAAAACACTTGTACTGTCCTATTAAAATACAATTTTGATATTTTTTTTTTATTAAATACATTGTTAAGGAAAATAAATATCTCACTCTTAAGGAAATGCTTAGCTTCTTCAGTGTACAGAAGGTATATAAAATATGAAATTTAATACGTCCACTGTAAGTCGATTATCAACTAATAGGGAATTTAAGCTAAAACACAAAAGTAAAGTAAATGCAATAAATCAATGGCGATCAAATGGAACTAGCATGATTATTCATCGCTATTGTAATGATGTAAGACGTTGTAATTTTATAGAGAAAGTCAACGAGTGGGGCGAGGCGCGATACGACACGGACTTAGACCAAAGTAGATTACGTAGACACAACTCAGATCATTTTAACAACGAATCATTTTGAACTGGTTCAATAAGGCTTAAGTAATATAACAATTAGACAGAATTCTTACAATTAGAAGACACGACGTTGTAATTGTTAAAATCATAAAACACATAACGATTCTCGTTACTTTATACGAGTAAAAATGTTCAAAATCACATTTAAAATATTTAAATTTAGAACAATTTAATTCGAAATGACGCTCAAGTCGAACGACCCTTGATAATTAGGGAATGCCACTAAAATGATTTGCAATTCTGTCTATAATAACTTGTATTCTATTTTCCACATTCAAATTACAAAATTTATATTTAATTCTTAAAAAAAAAAAAACAATATTAACTCAATACAACCAATATTAAATCTACACACTAGACACCACTTACATGATCCTTCAACTAAGATACCCTGTAATATCAGAAATCAGACAATGAAGCACATTCCTCTATCTCATACTTGCCGATTTCTCTACCGCACTCTCATTTATTTCTAAAAATAATAGATATTTCAAATTTGACCCCCATCGAAAATGATTTCAGTTTTGGACTAGACACGAGCGAAGTTAGACAAATTAATTAATTGGTTTCACCAAATAGAGAATTAAACTTATCTTCTTATAGAGAGATCATCAAAGTACATATTTAAAAATATAAAATAAATTTTAACATAATTGTAGCGCGAGTGAGCGGTTGAACTACTCGTTCAAGAAACGTGTAGGTGGTTGGAAATATAGAGCGTACTTAATTGAATATAAAATATAAATAGGCCTTATTACTGAGTGAATTTTAATTAGGCAAGTACCTAAATATTGTATAAACTCAACTTAGCATCCGAAAACGACTCACAGTGAACGTAAGGGTCATCGAGTTGTGGTGTTTGTGCCGCGATGCAGTTTAATTGACCACTTCTTACAGTCGTGTTTAGTACTGAAACAGTTATAATTAATAATACTTCTATTCACTATATTAATTACACTAGATACGCTATAGTTTTTGGCAATTATACAAATGAATCTGATTCCGTTATGTATCTATCCACATTTCATTGTACCATTCCAAAATTACTACTCTATTATTATTTATAATTAAACAATATTCGTTGCAAATG